TGGCAGCTGAAATGTTGAGCAATCGCCTTTCAGTCTTATCAAATTGAAATGAATAAAGATCACCATAAAAAATGTACGTATTTAAACAAAATGAAAAATTTCACGTAAATTATATGAAATACTTTCTTTGGTTAACCACATTTTATTAATTGGGAGCATTCAATTATTAATAATAACATTTTATTAAGGTGTTTTAGTATTGTCAGAAGAACCTCCCTAACAATAAACCTTACAAGACAATAAATAGGGCCGTACATCAAGTGGGAACATTGTTCAAAGTTATTTAATTATGCTAAGGAAAAACTAATCCGACGGTAGAGAACGAAAATTACATGCTCCGACGACAGCTGCTTGTATGTGTGCATGTGTGATATACAGCGTGTTCATAATAAGATCAATTTATATTACATATATTTAGTTTATAATGTTTCAGTGGGAAGATTATATCTTATAGCATTAATACGTACAAAAGCTGACCTAGTTTGTGATCAGAATATTATTATTTATTATTATTAAAAATTATACAGAAATCACGACTTGAAAAAATATGACACAAACTTTAAATATTGCTTATTAGTTATTACAGTAAAAGAAAATTAGGATGTTTTAAAATTTTAAAAGCTTATATGTACTATTAAACCAAACAAACTAAAAGCGGTTTGGTGTATTTGTAATTGTGAATAAATTAAACTGATGTAAAAAATCATCAGCCTGTACATGCGCCATACTTCAATAGAGACTAAAGATGGTGTCTAAGGTAGGTGTCTTGTGAGACAATATTTATGCCTGCAATATTAAGTCGTGTGTGACTTCTATTAACGCGAGAGCATTTCCAAAAGTCTAACATGATATATGCTTTCTTTATTAAGTGATGTTACCAGTTACAATGTAACCTGTTAAGCCATAAACTATGCATTAATTTATGGGGTTAGTTTATGGTACACATAAATTATATTTCAAAAACCCGTTCATATATCTGTTACGTATCTATCTAACCAGTTTTATCGTCTTTATTACTGTAATATCTTTATTATTTATATCATGTGGCGAAATGAAAGTGTTCATTTGTTGTATAGTTGTATTTTTTATAACGAACAATGAAATTTCCATGTTTACAAAATACATTCCCAAAATAAAATCATCGGAAAGGTCAAATAGCAATGAGCGGAAACCTATTGCTGTCCGAAATAGTAGATAGAGGGATAACGCGTCCACAGCCGCCTGGGGCAGATATAAAAATCATTCATATGGACGGAATAAAATTGCATCCCAAATAACCTGGTGCTCATCGCCCGAAAATCTATTAGCAATAAATATGAAGTTTTCCGATTTAACGGGATTTAAAATTGCGGAACGTAAATCGGAAAGTTCCTATGACTTTTCTGGTTTATAACACTCTAGTTGAGGCCTTCGGTCTCAAATTATTATAATATAATCTCATTTCATATCTCCAATTAGTATTAAGAAATATGAAATGGAATTTTTATTATATTGTTTAGTATATTAATATAAAAATATTCTTAAAGGATTCCTTATTAGTAAAACATATAACGTATGTTTTTGGTTTAATTTACTATTTAGTGATAATTTTCATCAATCATTTGATTACATTTAATCTCTTTTAGAAACTTCAAGCATTTTTAACTTTTCTAAAGATTACGTTTGAATTACCACTTTGAATTTCAGTGACTACAGAAGTTCAAATCATAATAAATGTTTAAATAAAGTATTCTTACTTGTAGCATTGTTGTAATAATCATTTCGAAGAGCATTCTTGAGACGCCATATTACATATTTTGTATAATAGTAATGGATGAGTGTAATGGGTTCAACTAACCAAAATATATATTTAAAAATAAAAGATGTAGTCATTAGCTGAACCACAAAGAAAATTGTATATCCTATCAAATTTTGATATACTAACATTTTTATTGTGTGATAGATGAATGCAAGTAAGAAAATAAAAGATTGAAACCATAACAACAATATTGGTCGTCTTATAATAATTAAATATTTTTTAAGAATAGAATAGAATGTTACTAGACTATTATAAATATCAGATAGTATGCATGGATAGCTTTGAGAATTGAAATAATTATTCTTACTGTGGACTAATGGAATCAAAACAAACAAGGAATTATTGTCACTTACAAAAACATTTTATTGTGAATAACCTGACTTTTACAATATACTTTAAGTCTTTCGTGATCATCCAAAGTTTTTTGTAAACCAAATTAATAAAATGAAAGAAAACTCTCAAGTATTGGAGGAGAGAATTAATTTTGTTTTATCCTATCGAGTCTGAAGAAAAAATGTATTTGATTTTTAATATCATAAAAAACCTAACGAAGGTTGTTTTGCTATTTGAAGGAAACAAAATGAGAACGGATATATACGAATAAATTCTGATATTCATTTATGTAGAAACAATTAATGTATATTGATTTGAAACTCAAGTTATTCGGATACTATGAGTTTTTAATTATTTTAACTACATAATCCCGACGTTTCAGTTTCTTTACAGCTACCGTGATCACGGGCAGAAGAAATGAAAGTGTCTATTGATTTGTATCAAAGGGATTCGTTTCTGAAAATATTTTTATTCTTTTCTGACTAGAAAAGTTTTAATGAAAAGTAATTTATCAATTTCATTAAGGAATGCTTTTTTTATGTAGATATTTTTACTAATTTAACAGTATCAATCATCACTCTGGTTCTGAACCAAGTTTTACAGAAGCTTCATATGTAATTATGTATAGACATATTTAATTTTTTTTGTGTATTAGTTTAATTCAAAGTAACGTTTTCGGATATTACTACATATTTTTTATGATTTCAACTTTAGTTTCATTAAAGCTTTGTACATATATGTATGTATGTATTTATAAGGCAAAACACTTGTCCTGTTAAATTTTTATAGCCATTATTTTTCTTAGATTTATTTGTAGATATTAATTATTAATTAATGCACCCTCAATAACTTATACAGTTTCATTAAACAATTATTATAATGAATAATATATTATTTATTAATAATTTGATTCAAATTTACAACAATTTCTTGTATGTTCTATTAAAATGAAAAAAAATCATAAATCTTTGAAAACTCCTTATAAGAAAAATATTATTCAATAATTACGTAAAGATTTCTTTATATTTCTGTTACGGCATCTTGAGACCACACAGAGTTAGGAAGAGGTAAATTTTTATTTGTTTAGTTAATATTATAGTAATATAATAGTAGTTGGTATTTCAGGTCTAATTCCTTATGAAAGTTAATAGTTGTGGACACCTTAGGGACTATACAGGGTATAACAGGGTAAGGTAATAAATTAAACAAAGCAGTGATAATTATTTTTTAATCTTGATATTTTTCTCTACGATACAAGGCACACACACAATTTTAAGTAAATTAATAATAATTATAATAGAAATAATAAATAATAAGTCGCTTATTAAACTGCAAATAACCAAGTCATCAACGTGTACTGTCAAGCCTCGACATCTAATTGACAAAGGAACTCTATTCTAATAATGCTATATGTGTACGGAACTTCACAATTAAAACTTTGAACAGTAATACTTTCTCACATTATATCGTCAAATTAACGAACTGATATGAAATTGCCGCATTCACTCACTGTATACAACCACTCACTCATCCATCTAAACATTTATAGTAACAACTAAGTATTTATTCATTACTTCATTACCCATTACAGATAACTTCAGAATAAACGTACCAAGCCGTATGAATCGGCGCTAGACTGTCCTATCATGACACTCGTCGTGAATTCCTTTTAACAGCGTTTCAAATGCATGTAACAGTCTAACGCCAATATCCCGATACAATGTCTAAATCTTATTTAAACTATTTTAGACATTCAAAGTCATTTCGTAAACTAAGCATCGATATAAATAACGCTATCATTTATAGTTTATCTATTATATTATAATTATCGCACTTAATAAAATACTGCCCGCTTTAACCGGATCATGGATATGAGACGTTTGATTTTTTTATATTACAATGTATTTTATATGAAATTTTTAAAGGAATCGCTTACATTACATTGTACGTCAGAAGAATATCATTATGGGCATTCAGTCATTTTATAAAATGAACCATCGGCACCGCTGTCTTAACATAGCTATCGTACATTTCTATGTTTTTTTTATTATCATTAATCTATTATCAGTTAAATCTAATGATTGCACTAAAATTGAATACGTTAATGATATTGAAGATCACATTGCATTAGAAAAACTTTATATACGTTCGTCTGTTGTAAATTTTTTAAATAATATGCGCTTTATAGTTGATTTTATACAAAGCAAAAATATTGTTGGAGTATGTATCATGAATCGATTAGCAAGTACAAAAGCAGACCGTGGTACAAAAGCAGTCTTAGGTCAATTCCAAACGTTGTTGCGATCAATTACAAAGCTTTCTTTATATTCCACCGTGTGTTCCATAATATGTTGTTACAAACAATACGCAGCTAAGGCTGTTTCTTAATTTATAATAAATCGTAAATCATCATACTTAACGTATAAATATGGCATTTAACAATTAATTTAAAGGTACATTTCGTAAACGATTAAATGTTGACGCGTAAATTATGTGTATCGTTAGAACTGTCAAGACTTACATCTAAAAATATTATGAAATATATACAAATTTCGCTATGGAAGAAGAATTCAGCGACCTCGCGTCACATCCCGAAATCTACGAGCTTATATCTAATTTATAACAGTATTTACAGATAATCTCAAAAGTACAAATACTCGGAGATCCGATACACAAAAGAATGTAAAGCTAGATAATTAGATGTATTCAATGTACACAAACGTATTGATCGTTTATCGAGAGGACACTAAGGATATATCAGAACGGCCTACTTCTCTCTGAACTCGGGTTTAACGCTTATGATCGGTTTCCTTGTGTCTTCGTGTTTGTCGTGTTGATTGTCGGGGTTCACAGCCCCGGAGGTCGCCAGCTAAGTGGCTGAGCTGAACAACACTGAGTTCTTGTAGTAACCAGCGCGGTCTGACAGTGGACTCTTGACGTCACGCTCCATCGCCTGCTGACGAGATTTGCGCTCCATTTCCAACTCCTGCGCCAGGGATTCTGTTGGTAATAATTGGAATGAGTATTGGATTTCTTAAAATTAATGTCATTATAATGTATTGTATGTATAATACACGTAGGATTAATGAATTCACTATATCACAAAACGTCGAAAGTGTTTTAATAAAGTATACAAAAAGAAAAATATATTATAACAAGGTTACATCTCTGTTACAGTATTTCTACATAATCACTTTCTAAGTATTCTGTATCTTTCCCCAGAATTAATTATGAAACGAAAAGTTAAATAATATCTGCATTCGTATGGCATTTAATATCAATAAAGATTTTCATTCAGTACAAAGGTCGCTATCGTTGTATAGAATATATGACTAAATCATATCTTTAGGGCATATGTATTCGCAATTATTAGTTGATTAACTTTCTCCATGAATATACAGAGAAGTAATTAACCTGGCTGAAAATACTTATAATTAATAATTACAAATGATACGTTATGATATAATATGCTTTATAATTTAATAAATATTAAAGATATTTTCATATTTATATAGGTGTATTTTTTGAAATTTTAAAATGAAAACTTTTGACGTCATGGTTATGAAAAAGTAAATCACAGCTGCTTTAAAAAATGCTCACAAACGAATGAAAAGATGTTAAACGAAATACGTCTAAAGCAGTCAATATTTTCTAATAGGATTTTTTGGTAAATTGACAAAGTTCGCGGAAAGGTAAGAGGTGAGGTAAGGCAATTGTCTCCCAAAACGTCTACGTTTTACGAAATATGCTTATTCAATTTCATGCAACGCTTGCCGCCTCCTGCAATTTACGAGATATAAAAGATATAAACGGAATCACGTTTTTTGCTTACTCCCAGGGAATATTTTCTCTACAGAGAATTCAATTTTATGAGATATTCATTTATTATCTTTTAAACAATACGATTACATCTCCGCTTCTAAAGATATGCTAACTTGAATGTAGCTATGTTCAGTTATAAGCAAAGGGTGCGATCTATTTTTGTGTCAATTGTATTCACATTTGACTGGTGTTGAGTTAAAGAAACAAAGGGTCACCGGTTGTATTTGTTTTACATTTGTCATTAAAAAAACTCAATTATAATCCGATTTGTCTCAGCGGAGACTTGCTGCAGGGCATCACACTCGCAAGTGTCGCTTATCGAGGGTTGTCCCGAAACAGAAACCTATTATCCCGGGCGAGATTATACGCCTAGGGCGTTACAATTAAATATTATACACTTAAAAGCTTCGGCCTTTGCCGTTTCACTTCGCTGCCACCCCTAAATGTCCCATTAGATCTGTTTGAATACGTAATATTTTTGCATTTGCCGCTTCTAAAACAGAATTGCCGGTTCCTTTGAGAGCTATAATCTATTTGTTCTTTGAAATAAATGTTACGCTCGAGTGCTCCAGTTAAATAAAAAGTTTGTCTTTCATGTAAAATCCATTTAACTGAATGAAGTAAATCCTTAAAAAAAAAACTTAATAACTTCATATTCAAATGACGCAGATACAATTATTGTTATTATAAAACTATTCGATTGAGGAAATTATGTATTATTGATAGATTTGTGACGAAACTAATTGATTTTGTAATTACATTGAAGATTGAATCAGATGATGCTTAAATATTCATTCATTTTCGTTTAGAAACAAATTGTCTTCAAGCTTAGATATACAAAACCAGCCTCGTATTTTATATAACACAATTCATTTACTTTTAAAAAGAAGATCATAGAATGATCTAAGTTTTTTTTTGTTCATAAAACTCATTACTTTTTGAAATCAAATACTTCAAACAGTCGCCATCAAAGTTGACATATAATACTTTATAATTTTGGGGAAGTAATTAATGATAAAAAATGGTCACTTGAAAATATTTAAAATTTTATAAACTTGAGAAGGTTGAATACAAAGGGTTATAATTATAACCTAAATGATTATTATTTATAATTATAATTTTGTTAGTTTCTTACATTTATAAATATTGTATTAATTTTTTATATAAATTTAACTAAAAAAAATATTTATCATTGTTTTTAATGTTGAAGTTTTTAGAAACATTTTTTTAGTTTGTAATACATTCTTGTGTAATTTTATTACTATTAATACATAAATTAAAAAAAAATAAAAATATATATCATTATATTTGTTTTTCATAAAAATATTAAAATATCATAATTAATTTTAATAAAAACTTTATGGAGGTTTATTATATAAATAATAATAAAATTAATCAAGTAGATAATTTAAAAATAATTGTATATAAATTATTATTTATTACTTTTTATAAAAAAAAATGTATGGTACAAAGTAAAACCAATTTTATATAAAGGTTTTGTCGAATTTTTATTTGTTTGTGAACTAATTTTTGTATACACCTGTAATGTGTATAAAATTTATATTCTTCCTGATTGAAATAATTAAATTAAAAAGAAATTTATTTCATTAGGCATAAAATTATTTAATTTAGGGAATCTTTGTAGTCTACATATATTTGTATATATAACTGTATATAGATATAAAAGTATGTATTATGTTAAGAGGGAACAAAATGTTAATATCGTCAAAGGTTCCGCGCACCTGTGTCTTACAATTTTATTTCCATTCATTTTGTAAGCGCACCTAAAAAGTAGCCGGAGAACTTTTCTCTTTATTAATTTTTCAACTTTATATTACTTAACATCATGGTTTATTTATTTCTACCTGGCGTACAACGAATATGCTTTTATATCTTCTCATTTAAACAATAAATTAAAATACTATTTGATAATGGTTGGACTTGTTTTTTATTCTTGTAAATAATTTGTTTTATAAGTATAGAACGTTATTTATTAATTTAGACGGCTGTGTTATCACAACTCGTTTATAAAAAAAATAACTTTTGGTTTATCTTGTTTCATCGGAGGGAAATGTTGAAGAACTTTTCTAATTTACGAATAATAAAATATTTTTTTTCTGTTACCGGCGGCATTAAAGGAAGTTTATAAGAGGCCAAGTTTTAATTTCAAATTTAATATCGTATCAGCTTATTTGTATTGACATCGCTGTGAAAATTGCAAGCGTGGATAGTAGAGGATAATTATGCAGCTTGATTTATTTGCGTGCTCGCGTGTTTTGTACAAAGGGTAAAGTGAAACTAAAAGCTACATTTACACTTGAGATCTAGATGGTAGTACTTGACAGTTGAAACGGAAATGAACTTAGCACTGTTTTATCGCAAAGCGCAGTTTATTGTTAAAAAATACGAGGTATATTTTGAGAGAAAGAAAATTCATATTCTGTACTCATCCCGCAGGATATAAAGCTTTAATATTGAATGAAGATTTAAAGGGAAAAGAACGACAGGTTTCATATCCATCAAAGTTATAAGGGAGTATCTGCACACAATAGTATTTGTTGCTCCACAGTGCCGGTGCATTTTAATGAAATTTCTGGGCTTCCACAAAGAGGAAATGAATGAAAAAAACTATTACTCGTTACGGTGCGAGAGTGCCTGACTCTTGTTAGTTAGTATTTGATTTTCTTTTAGTCAAAGGCGAGGCTATAGGTTATTATAGACATTTGAATTCTTTTAAATAATTTGTGAATTTAAAACCGTCGTTTTTATACGTCTCGTATTTTGGTAACACGTGTCATAATACTGTTAATATTTCTTTAAGGTTCTGGAAAACTGGATATAAATCGTGGATAAGTATTCGTATGTTCCACATTTCATAACTGCAATAAGCGTTTCGATTATCAAAATAGCTCCCCAATAAAATTTCAACCAGAAAATAGCAATGCGTGTATCGTACATTTTGTACTTTTAAATACTTGACATTCTCAATTCGCTTCGGTATGTAATATGATGAGTATAAATTTCGTTAGTCCATTTTTTTTTTAATTTCATTTCCGAGAAACCCTCTTGTACGCCCATCGCGGGATGCATATTTTATGAATCTTCGCCAAATATTACGATAACAAAATGTTATTGTAAAAAAATTGTGAAATATTAGTGTACTGGTCATATTTTTTTTTCCGTATTATAAGAGATCTCACATTAAATATATCCAATTAAATGTACTAGAAAAGTAGTAGTGTTTATATCAACTTTATTTTAAGTTTTCTTACCGGAGTAATTTTGCCAGAAGGCTGCACCTCCGCTCATGATATCAACGGGTGGTGGTGGGTAGTTCCATTGTGGTTTGTCTGGTGTGCGTGGTGGGTCACGCTGGAAAGGTGGTGACGTGGTGGGCGGCTCCGTGCTTGGCGGCTTGCTCTCCGTACCATTCTCGCGTTCCCTATTCTCTGGGGGCGGTGATAGATTCTCTGTTGGAAAAAACGGATATTTGGTGAATTTAATATGTATTATAAGCCGCATCTAGAGCATGATTTCTGGATACGTTATAATTAACTTTGCCCTTATAAATGTCAGGACCCTTGTCTGTGCCGTTTACTTAAAATAGGTTGCCAATAAGTTTAAGTAGCAAACAGCGATTATACAAGAAATTTAACTCGAATGCGTGTTACTTCAGCTCTGAACCCTCATTTCAAATGGTCTGCGAAACGATTTCCTGACACGGAGATTAGTACAAGCCTTCACTACCGTTTACCACCCCTCTTACGTCACGCACTCCGCATACAGAGCGATCAATTGTGACTTAAGCGAGATTATCCAGCAATTATAAATAGAGTCCTATCACATACGAATTATAGTTCAGATTTGCATAATGTGAGTACACCAATGTGTTATTTTGAATCAACCGGTTTAAGTCAGTTTTAACTGATATGGAGATAGTTCGACAGACGGTAAGTTAACATGTCAGAGGCACTCTAAGCTGTCGGTACGTGATGTATTTCCTTGGTATGGTAATTTAAATTTCATTTTGAATTACAATGATGTTGTTTGAATTTATTTTCTAGTATGGATGTGTTACTAATATGTGTGATATGTGAACTGACCAGTGACTATTCTGAGTATCTCAGAAGGCGCTCCCGATTGCTTCAATGCTTCTTCAATCTTCTGCCGTCTCTTAAGTTCCATTTCTAACTGTTCTTGTATTTGTTGTCGTTGTTTTCTTTCCTTTTTTAGTCTCTTCTGATACATAACTGTAACAAGAATAGTTCATAAATATCGAAAAAAAACTTATATATATTTACTTATGAAAATATTGTTAACAAAAACAAAAGTTCACAATAGATGGAAACATTCCTTTATGTAGAGACTAACAATCTCTAAATCAGTGAATGGATCATCAATATTTATGGTAAAGATGGAATCCATCTTGCTCACTTGTACCGTATCGAAACAACAATTGCCTTATAGCGAGAAACAAAACAAAAAATCAAACTAAATAATCGGTTTAGTCTCGCATCGTGGTCCATCAATACTTTATACAAATATGGACGAAATTATAAAAACTAACTGTCTCTTTCTATCCTATCTTAAAATGTATCAAGTTTAATATGAGATAACTCATAGATTGATTGCATGGAAAGATAATCACGTTTTGTGAATTATATTCTCAATAATCGTTGATGGTTTTTAAAAAATATTCCTTTCTCTTTCTTTGAAGTATTATATTATCCAATGACGAAGTCAATGTTAAGACCTGTTCACAATAAATGTACATATGTATATCAATAATCGTTTTCCAATTGTGACCATATGAGAGCTTCTATTTTGTGGAATTATTTGTGTTAGAATTATGAATGATTTCTAAAAATCTTTTTCTCTATATTTCCTTGATAAAAATTTATACTATCTCGTACTTATTGCAAGGAAAGATATACTTTTAAAACGAGATGTACCTATGTATGAAAATTTATAATTAAGTAGTGTAAATTAAAGCGTATTGAAAATAAAAGGCGATGTTTCTCATTACGTATTCGCTAGTAATTAATGTTGTTGCTAATGAAGCGGTCGACGGTCGAGGTTCAAGCGACTCCTACGCATCATTTGTCATATAAGACGCGGCTTAATAACGTACCTTAGTTTTGTTCTATTATTTATATGATTAGAGAATTTTTTGAAATATAATTCGAATAATTTTTACTATTATTTCCTTTAAAAGCTAATAATGTTGATGCATCTAACGAGTTTAACATAACATAAAACCATATTAAGGATGAAAGGTGATCCCGAAACAAAGGTGTGACTGTGTCCAAAGGTCCAATGAGTGGAAAACTTAACGGACCGACGAGTCCGAACATACAGACCAACACCTCTGAAAAACACTTTCCCACTCCAATGACGTTCATTTTTGGACCTTTTCATCTCACCTCATTTGTAAATAATGCGTCAATTTAATCATACACCCATAATAATCTATTTATGAAAATTCATATTTTTATTATACCTACTTCTCCTAAAGCAATAGATGTGCTTCAATGGATCAGGAGCGTTGTGAGGCCATTGTTTTTATAAGTCAATATTTGTTCGATCGGCGGCACTCTTTGAAAGTAATACAGCATTTAATTCCACTGAGATAAGCTCGTGAGTAAAGATGAATCGTAATAATTCTTCAATAGATTATTCATCTCGTCTGGATGGATGCGTCTATAGAGTTTTAACCTTTTGTTGCTATTGTATTAACATTTATAAGGAATCGAATTCAAATTTATTACTAAACATCGTATCTAACCTTCGACCGATTACGATGAGTTTCTACTTTCAATTTAATATTCTTAATTCAAGTATTCGATATTGTTAAATATCAAACATAACATTCAAACATGACGGCATATGATATTAAGCAAAACAATTCGACGTATGAATAAAAACGAACCACCGAAATATTGAAGGAATCCGTTCAAAGGGGAAAAAATGCAATAAAAAGTCCGACCCGATACAGAATGAGTGTGGTTAAAAAGCAACGAGCGAATATGGTTGTGAACATCCGCTGCAGACAAAAGTTCGGCTACTTTGCTATGCAAATTATATTTGCGGACCGCGCCGCGCCGCGGCTGAGAACGATCTACGAGTTTCCGTTTCACTTTTACGTATAACGTGTATTCTTTTCATATTTTCATCCGATTTCCTTCCCCTCCGTCGTTTTGTTCCGTTTTTAAAGTCTCAGAACAATACAGCTTTCTGCGGGGCTTTAGCCGCGAGCACTCACCGTGCTCGGTTATTTTTCTTATATCTCTTTGTATGTATTCGGTTTCTTTCTTTAATACTTTCAACTCATACTGATACGGGCCCCTTGGGTTCGTTGCGCAAATAACATGTAAATTAGTCGGTTTGTGTACACGTCTTTATTTCCCCAAGCGTTATTAAAATTATTAAAATTATACTGATACAACATCTTTACGATATTTTTATAAAGCTCGCAAACACACTTCCCATGTGTTTCGATTTAATTGGCATAAAGTATTTACTTTTATCTCTCTTAACTATTCCCGTGCTGAGAATTCTTGATAAATGTAAAAGATTAAATTACTGGAATACCAATAAAGGATTACCAATATCTTATTATAAATTAAATGAATTTATAATATTCTTACGAAATGAAATTGTCTTTATAATCGTTGTGTTGTGGCCTAATTTTATTAAAGTAAAACATATTACTCGTATTTCTTCATAAAAAAATAAGTAAATGAGTTATATTAAAGAAACCACACATTTTCTTACAGTGAAAAAAAAGGATCTAAAGCTTTTAATTGTTCTTTAATCAAGTTTTTTTTCAAATACCCGAAGATGTGACAACATTTCACAAAATATATATTTTTTAATTACTGTTTTTTAATATATATCTAATTTGAATTTTGATGAAGTGTTAATACATCTATCTGTTGAAATAAAACACGATACAAAGAGACGAATAAAATTATTTCTATATACTTTCAATAAAATGTATTGTAAATTTTTATAAAGAAATAATACTATGCAAGATATAAAAACATTGTTAATGTAAATGAGTAATTATGTATGCGTCACCTGCATTTCAAATAAAAGACTTAGTTTCAAACGGACTAAACAGGTGGTCTGCATTGAAAAGATCACTGAACATTCACTATCTATTTATTATTCATTATTTATTGTTAAAAAAATACTAACATACTGTATAATTTCAATAAAACTCAAAGCACTTATTACGAAACGCATTAAAAGACATTAATTTGTGTTACTTTGTATAATTGTAGAAACACAAAAACAATTTTTCTCACTCACATATAACTTAAATAAATATCGACATTTATGACAGCCACTCCCCTACGTCTGCCGAGCCATTTAGATAAGTCTTTTTATAGTTCTTTATTGAAAATAAATTGCGTAGAATAAAATCAGACACAGATGAAATGGCTTTCCGATAGATGTGTATGAAATAATGTTCAAAAGATAAGATGTGTCAGTTATCAGCGTATGTTAGCTTCTAGGGTTATTATTTGTGAGTAATGATGAGTTTTGGAGGTAATCTTTATACATTTATATGTACAGTATATATTTGTACAAAATATTTAGAACCTAACAAAAAAATATTTTTCTATATTTAATTCTGCGATTCAAGTGTATATACTAACTCTGTTTTTTGGCTCAAATGTTTTACTGTCCCGTGAGATTAGGGTTCTCGCGATAAACATTTTCCTTAATATTATCAGGATTATTGTTCTTGTCAGATGAGTGGGGACTCTGAGTTACGAGCAGTTGACCTTCACCTATAAGTGATATATTCACTTAAGATTCTGTTTATCATCACAAACATACACGATGACAGATACGTTGCATTGCGATTATTTTAATATAAATATATGAAGTCAAAACTCAAGTGCTGTCCAAATGTGTTATAAGTATAAATATTAAATCAATGTTCATTGGTGCGTTAACAAGTGAGATGAAACTAATATAACATTTCTAAAATATCTGTAACGTACATTCCATAACATGTTTATTACAATAACAGCAACGAAAACTTTTATGAAAAAGTAGTACGAGGGAAAATTGCAGGCAGTTTTATCAAAACGATCAAAGGGCCGATCGGACATTCCGACTTCTTACGACGTTAGTAAAAAAATACAATCTCTCTTTATAGTTACCATTCCACTGGTTATTATATCCGTATCGATACGGTTAGAGTTACGGAGCGTGAAATGTTGGATTCTTGATTTTGCAGCCCACGGCGTGACGGACAATTGTAATACACCAAATTTAGAAAAACTTATTACTGATCGGATTAACTTTCAATATTATACTATTGCTTGATTTCTGTTTTTATCTGTTTCAGCCATAGTGTTAGTGTGATTAAACGGTTGGGTAGCAAAAAGTTGACAAAATTGTAACGACAGTTAAAAATACTTGATAAATTTTTAACGATGGTTGTCTTTTCGGGATATGTTGACGTAGCGCATGAGCAATATCATTTTATTGCTTGTAATTTTTTCTTACATCAATCTTTGTAACCCCCACAAACTTTCGATGGTATAAAAAGATATAATTTTATCTAAACATGTTAATATAAGGACTTAATTATTAAACACAGATTATAAAAGAAATTTAAAAAAGTTTATTCGAGACATGAAGCAAAAAGTTCCTAATAAATTAATATATTCGGGATCGAATGTATTATTTTCGTTCGAACAGAGCATCGGTCCATGCTTCCTGTGACACGAGTGTGGTCGTAACAGGACACCTTTGTTAATATGCCTGAATTAATAACGTAGATGTATGTTGGAAGTCGCGTGCAAATGATGATATCATGAGGCTTCAGTGCAATCATTTGAGAAAAATATCCATTTACATACGATTGGCATTCGTATCATGGGGAGTCCGTTTTTTGTATGTTATATTTTAAATCCACTTATATTATAAACGTTTTAATCAATACAAGTTATTTATCACCAGTTAAACTTATAAAGAAAACTAGACTGAGAATTATAAAACTGTATAAATAATATTTGAAATATTAGTTTATAATTAATATCACAAATAGAGTCATAAAAGTTTTATTTATAAACATCGCATTTTATTTAATTCGTTTCAAGTTAACAGTTAACAAATATTTAGGCTGAAGTTATAACTATAGTTGTATATTATCAAATATTTATGTCGTGTTTTTATTATAGTGTCGACGCGATATAACTGAAATTGGACGTCTCGTCGTTAATCGTTATGGCCGACAAAAAATATTTAATCATTATTTATGACATATTGGACATTTAATTTAGGGATGACATTTCATAGTACCATAAACATAGAATACATCGTGACTTTGAATATATCGTGTTTTATGATGAACATTTTATCAATTATTATTAATTTTCGTAGCTTTTTCATATGAAATACGGGACTGAAACTTTTTAAGTCTCATCAATAATGTACATAGTCAAAAAACAGAAAAAGAAACGTGCAATATGATAAAACAGGCGCAGGTAACATTTAACAAATATTGACAATGGATGATTGCAGCCGGCTAGCAATCCCCTTGGCAAACTGCGAATTAAAATGGGGACGAGAAAAATTAATCCTAATGCGATTTTAATGAACCCGAAATGAATGAATGTAATAATGAATTGTTAAGCCGCTGGATATTCTTTTTATAAAAATGAAATAAAAATGTCTGAATCTTTTTTAGAAGCTTCATTATCGTGTTGGTTAGATTCTTGAAATTACAAGAGTTGTATTTCATTTGAGCATAGACGAGATAAAGTGTAATAATAATTAAGGCTTAACATTTTAGTCAGACGTGCGCCTTAACATCGAGTTTAAAGCACACAAGCTCTGAAATGTACACCTGAAGTCTTCGCCCGCTTTTGCATTAACGAATGCGGAAGCGGCGTTGTGCATACAGGACGCGTGGCATCCACCCTTTCCACAGCCGGTGCACCTCCCGATCCCCCTCCTCCCCTCCCCCCATCCCTCCTTACCTCACGAACCAGACGCCTCCAGCAGCGAGCCATGTCCCGCCCGTGTTCATTACCTCTAGCGACCAACAATTCAAGTTTGCTTTCCGCCACACAATCTACACTAGACCCTCTAGATTGCGACATACACCAGCCACTCGAATAATAAAGATGCAGAAATTAAACCTGTCTGCAGTGAAAAAGCGGAAACTAAGTGAAGCTATCTCGACTTGAATGAAGGTAATTCGAGGCGAGCACTCGTAGAACGAATGAAAGAAACTCGTCGGGAATAGGATGAGTTTGTTGAAACAGAGGGTAAATGTTAACCACGAAATAAAAACAGTCAACAGATAAATGCCCACGATAAACACATGTCAGAATTGTAAAGGTAAGATATAAAAGTCAATGTTGACATTTCACAATGAGGACTTGAAATGTTTCAAGTATCGCGTCGGTTCATGAAACTTTGAGGAAGTTTCATTTGTTCATATATTGATTCAAAACTAGAAACCAATAAAGTTTAGCCACTAAATTTGCTTTAGCCATAAAATATTCAATTACGCATAAGCACACATTTGCTAAGGCCAACAACGACCACGCGGCACCCCCATTAAAGATGCCTAAGGGCCATTTAATCGGTCAGTGGATGTAAATTTGGCGGCCCCAAAACAAATATCCCCAAACTAATAAGGAAACGAAATATGTAAATCGTTTGCCATATTGTTTCACAAGTGAAATCTTCCTTTAATCTTATAACAAATCCGTGTCCAAATGGCCGGTTGGAGCTAAATTTGAATACAGGAGGGATATATTTAAGGGTTAGTTTAAGGTACGGTACTCCAAAAAGGTGGTAAATGTATGCAAGACACGCACTGAGAAGATAGCGCTCATAATGTCGTCCTATGCACATATTGCAACAAATTAGTTGTCTACTTGTAAACATAGCCAGGAAGGTAAGCCCGCTAAGACGTAGTCGCTGGGTAGTTTGCATGGATATGAGGACGGCAATATGGGGCTTCGCAGGTGCTGGCGGTACTCATTAAGATGTTTTATGGATGGCCCACCGGACCGTGTTGCCAATTTAAGATATTTCTGGTCGAAACGGCGTCGCGTTAGTTTGGCTTCCGATTAGGGGATTAAGGTAACCCTTTTAGGGCATTAGAGTAATAATTGTAGGGTCTGTATGCGGTTACGTTTCCATTTACTCCCTTGACAACTATTGTTAGTATTAGTAAGCATTAAATAATAAATATATGACTTATAGAATAGAAGTAATGAATAGGGGTACAGACAAAACAAAGGTAAATTTAGTCCAATATGTCCTAAACCCTGCACAGCAAGTAAATCAAAGGGTGTTGAAACTTTACACCCACTTAAAGCCGGACACAGTAATAAAGCGTCCGAACTTCATCGACCCTGGACATCAAATGGGCACCCCTTCTCGCATTTTGTTCAAGAGAAAATTAAAAGTTTGTAGATGTCTACCGCATGCAGACTAGCTATATGAGGTAATAATAATATGAACGAAGTAGAATGGTTTAACGACGAAAGTTCTTTAAAAGATCTATATGTATACATTCCAAAAATGATACGAGTTAGTAATGAGAAATATTTTTTTATAAGTACTTTGCAATATTGATTTTTTTTTATACTATACCATAAAATGTAATAATTCGAATAAAACATACATTAGTAGCTGTATATGTCTGGTTTGAACTGGCGTCCATTAGACACCGTAAAGACATCTTCTAAGTGCAAGCCTTAATCAAGATAGAATTAATTGTTTCTAAAGAGGTGATTTTGTCGACTATATTCCCTGATTAAGTGAACAGGTTGGGACCGGGCCGAGGGTTATTAAATAATTTATTGTCTGACAACTATTCGTAAGGGGCACCGCTCAAATGTTCCACTAAGATTCTGCAAACTTGTGTTATGGTATTGCTAGTAAACTTTGTCTGCGAAACTTATATGAATTCGTAAGGTAATCGTATTGCGATGTTGAATAATTAATTAGTTTAAGATTGGATATTGTTTACACAAATGTTTATTCTTGTTAGTTTTAGCACATAATGGTTGAAATAAAACCTAACTACAGTAAGAATTATATAAAATATATTTTACATACATTTAAGGATGTACCCCGAGTATTTCAATCAAATAACATGTATATGTATGGCCACTGAGAATAAAAATTGAAACAATATATTTAACTTTTTGTTTATAGGTTCACACAGAATTCACCCTGATTGAGTTTTGCCCAGTCCTTTATAGCTTTCAATGTACATTTCATCCTGTCAGTGGCAAATTACACTGGCTGCCCATTCACGCTCAAAAATCACTCTCAATCGAGTCAAGTGGGACCAAATAAAAGGTGAATTCATCATGGGGGTGCGATTTGGCGCCCCCAACGGGAAACCAAGGCGGGAAACGTATGTCCGGAACATTTGTAAACACAAACAGGTGCCGACAGTTTATTAATTTAAATTGCGCGTATCATAAAAAAAGTGGTTCCAAAATGGTAAATTGTCCATTTTGTTAGTGCATATAATAAATATGATTATACAACAATGCAAAATTGGTTCAAAGACCGTAAACTCGCTTCGGTTAGATTGAACACTTCAATAAAGTACATTTCACGTAAGTAATTAATCGAAAAACGTTGTGTAAGTAATAAATTTTTTATCATTTATTTTATAAACGCTGAAGTAGCATCAAGTGTCACCAACGTCATCATTTTTGAACTTTCAATTACTTTTACTTCATCTAATGTAATCATTTTCAAATTGCACGTGTGTAGAGCCTTTAAACGTATATTAGTATATAAAATTTTGTATTTTGGTACATAAAGAACAAGTGTCCGGAAAGGGTTACCATAAATCAATTCGGCTCACGTGATCTGATTATGGCCACGTCGAGAGCGCCCAAAGTAATTCATTTTTGTTGTACCGTCTGGTCAATGTACATATATCTGTTCGGATAGTATCGATTAATTTATTTATATGGCAGAAAAAATCACAAAACATATTACTAAAGAGTTTTAATTTATTATAATAGTAAAAAAAATTACATTAAAAAATATGAGTAGCAAGAGTTATTGTTTTAAAAGTGTCAATTATGCCCATAACCATACAAAAGTTATGCGTTTCTATTCAAGCAGACGTATTTGTTTACGTTCGTTTCAATTGGAGAAGCGATACTATAGCAGGCTCAAAATTAGTCGTCTAAATATGATATTAGCAACATAAATATGATATCCTGCAATCAAATCAGTACGGCTTCAACGGTTTCGAAGTCTGCTTGGGTGGTCTTTGTAAACAGATCTCAAAACGTCTGTTTTAACTATCAATAGTTTATTGCCACAATCGACATCGCAATTACAATAAGATGTATGTATTTGCGTTCATCGAACTAACGTTTGTTTGAGTTTAACGTTATTTGCAATATGTTTGTAAATGTCTCGAGGTTAATTTTAATATTACACGTTAAGTGGTACCTGTATTGCATTCATATATATTTTAATGTCAACGGAGCGTTATTTCAGATCTATAAGCAATTTCCCCAAGACACCGGATGCGGTCTAGCGAGCACAAGTTGAATTATTATTAAATTTCCTATGACCGGGGACAAAAAGCAGAGGGCTGTGATTCCTTTGAAACATTTATGCATGTTAAGTGCATAACTGGGAGGAATATTTTAGCGTTCGGGTGACCGAAGTATATATATAAAAAAATAACCTCCTATTTTCATTAAACTTCAACAAATCATTCTAGAAGTGTTAATTAACAATGAGCAGTAAAAATTACCTATTTGACTTTATAATTAATTTAACTTCATCAATTTAAAACCAAACCCTTTTCTGTTTATTTGTGTAATTAATTCCATAACTTTTCTTATTAATAAGATGTCACTCGTTGTTGTAGTTTTTTAATAAGTTTTACAAGGGATCACTTCTTCGACCAATTTGTATTGCTAAAGATTAATTCTTTGTTTATTTACTTAAAACTTTGTCGTATTCCTGATCCTTATTATTAAATAGCATCATTAAACGACATAAATTAAAATCTTACGCCAGGATCATAAAAATGTATTTTTTTTTTATTAACTTTTTTCTTTTATTTTCTTAAGTCTGTAAGTATTTAGTGTCGGTGCTAAATAGATTGAAGTGGACACATTACTTGCGAATGAGTCATTGCAGTTTTGAACCCAGTACTCCCCGCACGCAACGTTGGACTAACTAACTCATACGCTCCGGTGACCAATTTAGAAAATGAAGCTTAATTTGAACTCGTATTATATTCAATTTTGCCTACGAAATGGGAATTGCAGCTCTTAATGAGACGTTTAATGAAATTGTTATTTAAATCTCGAACTTCTACAGCATTATCGAATAAAATTAATTTAATAATCTAGATATTTGAAGACTTCGTATTTTAAAATATATTTTTTATTTCGTTTAATGAAACTTAAATGATTTTGGCTCACAAGAAGTGAGTATTAGATTACCGGAGCGATGTGGTGGTCACATGGCGTGTGCAGTCAATTGAGGGTAAATCGACGTTTCGATCGTGTCGAAATAGACATAAACTCCAGAACTGAATATTTAAAACCCATATAAATAATAATTGGAACATAATAAAAATGTTCGTATACATCTTAATATAATATTTATATCAAAGCAGAACCTTTCATTTCGCATTAAAATTCGCATCATGTATATTGAAACCTGTTCTAACAATTTCACATACAATCATAAATTCTAATTTAGCGTGTGGCGGATCGCGTTACCTTCAGTTTGAGACTCATTGTATGTACTCCCAAGACGAAGCAACCCCGTAACGTATACAAAATTAATTAGACAAAATCTTGTGCTCTTGTAATATTTTATTATTATTTCCGCTACTGAGATTTTATTAGCGTTTTATATTTATTGCTTTTCTCGTACGTTGGATCTGAATAGGGTCTTGATTAGCATCGTTGTTGTATGTGTTCTCTTTAGCTACAAGTTCGTAATTACAGAAGTTGTAATTACAAGGCTTATATTGAGAAACCTTCGCAGGCTTACGTATAGTTATCGCACTGTGAATGTTGAAGGTTTGTTAAATTAAACGTCTTATATTCTGTTACTTTTGCTCTCAAACGCCTATCTATTTCATCTTATAAATTCTAATTTATATTGGTTTCAAATTAAATTCTAGGATCTTAGTTATTTCAAGTTATTCAGTGAATTTAAAAGACTCTAGTTTGTAATAAAATAAAATTCATAATAAATTTTATTCATTTGGTCAAAGAATTCTATTTATCTAATAACGATATAAATAACTTAGAACAATTAGCGTTCAAGACGGGTAAAGGTTTAAAGGAATACAGGAATCACTTCTTATAAGGTAGTCCATTTGTGTAAAGATCGTACAGGGCGTACATCGTCTTCTACTTAGCGGTGAAATGTGTAATGCCTTTCATTTGAATCTTTCTTATGCCGCCTTACTGTTCCTTACACGACTCACGGTTTACTGAACACTCGATAATATATAAAGAAAAACAATTAACTTAATGTCACGAGCAACACCAAAGATTCAAGCAAGTATGCCATCTAAAATGAGAAATAAATAGCAAACAAATTAAAACGAGCGTTGTAATAGCTGAACATATGTGTGCATAATAATGTTATAATCAGCTCTTGTAAAATATGAGTTGAACCATACTATTCTAACCTTACATGGTTACATCTACGTTGTACATTAGGGAGAGACGAGTTGACCAGTCAGCTAAATCTAATCATCTGCATTAGTCATGCGCGGCCGAAGCCCATACTGCGCTTCATTTCACCAGAACATCCACCCTTGATCCGATTTGTACGTTTGTAGCCTCTCAAATTGAAATTTTCCTCAAAATAAAAAAGCAAGAAACCTATTAGCAGCGGTTAAAAAGACTGCGGAATGAGGAATTATCTCCGACGGCTAAATTAAGAAAAGGAAGAATCGACGGTTTTGCTAATGAAGTTAGTGAATAAACCTGTTTGTTTTATATTTATTGTGATATTGGATCTTTAATGTAATCATTTCGTTTCCAAATACGTGTATCAATTACTAAGTATTAAGCAAACGTGTACTGTAAAGATAACCTTAAAGTTAAAGTTGTAATGCAGCGACAATATTACATCTTCGTGTGTCCCCCGGCGACGTGCCTGGCATTATTGGCATTAGCAAGACGGTCACGTAGTGAGTACTCCGATCAAAAGCGCTATCAATATCATAATCGATTTTTTTAATTATCTTTATTACATTTAAAATATATTTTCATCGACATGAGAACATTTCAGAAGAGAGTTTTTAAAGCCGCAGCGTGAGTAAAAAAGATACAAAATGCTATGAATGGTTTTGTTGCAAATATTTACTCCGCGTTGATTCAAATTTCATAGCGTTGGTAACTCCAGCGTATCATGCCGCGATTGTTAAAAATTATACACGAAATGGTTCGATAGAAACTTCACCTAAACGTTTATGGTTCCGTACTTACAACTGATATCCATATCAGGATGTTTCAGGTAACGTGTCTTTCTTGGCATAGGATTACAATTGGTATTTGGTGTAGGCCGTTACGATTGTAACACAATCTATCCTTGTCATTATATCTGAAGAATTTGTAAAACGTATATATGTATATCCTAGCATATCCGATAGTAATTGTTTCAAAATAGAGGGCGTATGGTTTTGTTTAACTATATTAATTAATTTATACGGAACCATAATTTTTTCGGTTATTGAATTCTTTACATGACAGGCTTTAGTATTCCGAGCACGGAGTTCTCATCCTGCGGTCTGGATTTACCGAATATCGGAAGAATTTATGTTTTCTTCAACTTTTCTCCGGGATGTTTGTGGTATGTCTGAATGCATTCCAATACCAGACACGAAATCGTTTCACACCTCCTTCATTCGCTTATCCTATATGATTATTTTTGTTAATATTTATATAAATTTCGTATATATAATATCTTCAATTAATTTCTCATATAATTACAAAGCGTTTGCAATCATGACATGCTATAAGATAGAGCGTAGCGGACACATAATGTTAACTTGAAATTTTGAGGTAAAACTACGCTATTCCCCGTTCATTATTGTTGGACTTCTATACACAGTGACGTGTCCATCACGTGTGTTATTGGTAAGTGTTTGCAGAGGGACGTAGTAATGGGAGGTTTCCGTCTAGTGCCGGCGCACAATGCCACCGGTGATGCTCATTCGAGAGTGCAGATTGCATCCATTACCTTCGGATGACCAGACTACGATGTTTGCAGAAACTGAATCAATTTCGTGTACATGACGTTATATAAGATTTGTATCATTTTTATAATTATGTTCTTATATAATATATTTCATATATATTAATGTATATTTATGAGTAAAAACGGCAAAAGAAATTCATAAGAGATGGCTATACCTAATGTATTTAGGTGATAAATCTAAATACTAATAATATATTTGTTTTTGGTTGTTAGTAATATTTTTTACTTTTATTTGTATAAAAAAATATAGGAAGCTTAATTATATAAAATGATATAAACTTTGGCTGATTACAAAATAGCTTCAGTTGCGGAACCCCTCTTGTTTTTTCCAGTGTAAATTCGATATAGCCGTTTTGATGAATGCAAACCAAATGTTAGGGTTGCATTAGGTAGCCTAACAATAGCCTAGTCTGACTACTGATGTACGTTGATACGATTGTTTCAGAAAACAATTCATTTGAATTTAACCACTCGCCTGTCCAATTCCAGATAATGATTTGGAGTGGGGGATAATTTAATGCGATACCTTTGATATTTTACGTTTTCATATGTATTAACAAATACTTTAATAAATATTCTTCATTAATTAATATGTAGATACCTTTGAAAGATCAATTTATGTATTTCATTTCAATTAAAGATAAAATTCTAAAGGGGTGTACATTCGACATGAGGTACATCGATAACCCTCCATTCCGAACATAATGTTCACATAATTGGCGAAACATTCCTATTCCAACCCTTTCAAGACGCCATAATGTCTACATGTTATTTAATTATACAATCTCAGGCACAATGTAATTCCGTCTTGTCTTCAACAGAGAAATGAAATACAAGGAGCTTCACTTCACATAATTATAATATAATATAATAAATATATCTTATTTTGACATTTACATTAACCTTTTGATATTAATTTGAATTGTAATTTTTTTTATTATTTAACGGGCTATACTTTATTTGTTTTATTTCATTTATTATATAATGAGAATGTGTTTAAATCTTACGACTAATGAAACGTAAATTTGATTAAGTATTGTAAAGTTCCAAACAGTATCTAAGGATTCCTGTTCGCAGTCCAACTACTATCTTGCGGTATTAAATGAAAACCCTTCTAAGATATCCCTTACGAGACAGTGTCCATGTTAATTATATACGTATAAATCAAAATGATCGAGTAACTTTAAACTAGTTCGTAATTGAAATAGACACGTGATTTATTTGTAACAATAATAAATATTAAGTGTCGTTGAATCAATGTTGTATAGAATTTGTACGTTTCTGTGCAATCAAGTTTGATAAGAGAAGATATGGAAGCAAGTTTTTATTCATCATTTAAGCTCCATAATACCTATTTAAATGAAACAGCTCAGTCCAGTATAGACGCGAATGCGATAGTGGTCTATTCATACAATATCTATTATGAATGCCCGTCGGACGTTGATTAGACTCGGGCTCTATTCCAATTTTCAAGCTGGCCAGAGATCCTCCCTGATTGATTGTTATGGAGTCCGCGGTGTAGCTTAACACAAGTCTATTTAGCGTACTTCAAAGAATTGATACATTTGTTGAAATTATATGGCCAACTACCTCATACTTCATTCTTAATAAATATCAAGTATTACAAGTATCTTTTTTAATATATATGATTATGGAATAAGTATATATAATGACTATATTTGAACTTTATCGTGTCTAAAGGTTTCATTAGGTTGAGTTAAATTTGTTTGTTCATATCTATAATGACTATGATTGGTGTTTTATTTCGTACATTTTCTGCATTGGGTAGCATATTGCATAGCTTTTGTAACCGAAGGCGTATTTCACAGCGTGGACACATGCGCTATCTGATGATTGGTTTTTGGCAATTACCAGTATTGCTCACGTTGGAATCGGGTTCATTCACCATGTGAATTATGTATGGGATGTGCTTTACGTCTCTTTGTTGCAACATACCATTGCTAATAATGGTTTGCTATTCAAATTAGAACACTAATTATATAACATTACAGGCGTCTAATTGTTTGTATTAATATGCAAATTATGACGTGTTTATTTTATGTTAATTATAACGATAATTCGCTATTAACCCCAGTGATTGTTAAAGCTTTATTACTGTTAAATAAAATAATTTATTCTAGATACACATAGATTTGAAAAAAAAATTGACACCGTCAATTATGAAACAACTGGGGACGCCAATAATTTTAATTGGGCAGCGAGTCATTGTCAAAAAGCTTTTAGTGCATCGGACACAAGATTGTCAAATATCGGGCGAAAATCCATTAACTGTCCACGATACTGACCAAAAAACTGAATCGATCGTTTTGTTGAAATCTAATATTTATTTTAAATAGATAGACTATAAGATCTCCGTCCGTGTATATACTTGAATAGTCAATATTTGCACTATTAACAAAAATATACTAAATATATAACAAACTAGTTTTTGCCCGCGACTTCGTCCGCGTTAGTTTGGTCAAGAGTAATATATGTAGGCATAGCTGACCACGCGTATTCTATTCCGTCTTAGAGGCCATAAATAATCAGGTTTTTCCTGTTTCAATCAAACAGAATGATTGACATATTAGTTAGTTGTCAAATCTAATGTCAAAAAAAGACGTTTGTATGTGAAAAAGAAAAGGGCTGTTTTTAGGGTTTTCCCGGCAATTATTACAATTTTTCTCACCTTTTAAACCTTCCCTGGACTTTCAGGAGTATTTCAAGACTAAAATTAGCCAAATCGGTTCAGATATTCTCGAGTTTTAGCGAGACTAAGGAACAGCAATCCATTTTTATATAATATATAGAAGATTATACTCCTAGCATTATTATCGATGTAAAAGATGACACAAACTATAGTTCAATTTCACTGTATATATTTTTGGAGACACAATTGAATTTGAACTTTGCCAGTTGATGATAAAATCGATATTAGTTTACAGTGAGCGTAAATAAAAGACATAACCCTTTGTCTTAAGGCTACAGGTTCATCGCTACCGTGTCGCTTGACATTTCCGCAAAGGTTACCTTCATTCAGTACGTTTCCTTTGCTGACACACTACTTTATTAGCGAAGAAAGGGTGTTATTGTGTTGCGAACAATTTAACCTTTCAAGTTCTCGAAAAGGAGTTATTAAATTTAATGTTACAACACTGTTTATCATATGAAATTACTGAGTTATCATTCGTGCTATCGATGAACCTATAAATATCTAATATCGAAACATACAATCAGGTGGGAAAGTAAGAAACTTATATTATAACAGTAGGAACGGAATAATAACGTGTGAATGTTAGAATAAAAATGCATTTTAATTGTATATCTGTAACCTATTGTGGTGCACAATTATAGAGGAAAGACCAATGATTTGATGGCACGGAAAGAAAATTAGCTACGGTCGTTTTATAAAAGATAATAGTTAATGTAGGAAATAAATAACGTGTCTTGGAAGAAGACAATGGTACCGTAATAAGATATGCTGTTAATTTTGGCGAATACGGAGCGAGCTCGTGACCGACGATTTATGAAGGCATTGAAATTGGCGGGATCTTTGCCCTTGTCTATACAAATACTTCTAGGGAAGCTTTTCGTAGTTTGGTTCATTACATACTATAATATTTATATAGCTAATGACTCACCTCTCATCTTCTGCTCATCGAGTAGTTGTCTTTCCAAATTGTCTTTCACTTCTCGTTCTCTTAGTACGTCCATTTTTAGTTCGGCTGTAAACAAAAACAATGAATATTAGAATATTTTAATGATAATTTCAACAATAATATTGGTTTGAAATTTCTTACTAATAATTGTTGCTGAATTCCAAGCGTTTGTTGTTTGTATTATTAAATAATTAATCTACAATGGTTCGATATACAAAGGAATTGATATCCAACAGTGATTGAAACCCGTAACAAGGCCGAAACAAGGGGCCGATTAGAACATAAACACGGATTAAGTCATTCGGAATCCAACCATTGTGAAGGAGTTGATTTGAGAGATTTGCATAACTTTCAATTAAATCTAATCTGACTGATATTATTAGGGGGTAAGTTAGATTTGAATACGATTAGCAATGGTAGTTCACCTTGATTGTGTTTACAAATACAGTTCAATTTATACAATATACGAATATTGAATAATTTGGACAGTAATAATATATGTAGGTACACATTTACATGATGTTTAAATAGTATTACTAATATATTTAAGTGTAATAGAAAAAGATAGTAATGTAAAAAGAGGTAGTTTCTTGTTGAAAAAGATTGTTTTGTGTTATGGCTACAGTCGAAATCATTTGTCGAAATCATTTTTCTTAGGTAGCACACAAACCACATATTTTTGTATCAATTATAATATGAGTAAAATTAAATAGTAATATTAAATTATAACAATAGGTTTTAATATATTGTTTTAACAAGTTACTCGCTGCCAATGATACGCCTCACGTATTTTGAATATATCGTGTCTATTTCTGAAAATGCCAATGCTTTATGATATAGATATAATTGTCTAATTTAAATTTTAATTTCAGTGTTTTATTATATAATAAATAATTTCAACCGAAGTCAATCTGTATTAAAATAATTATATTACGGAAATAGTGATGTTTTTCGGTTTGTGATTTAATATAATCAATAATAATTTATTTGTAAAAACTACAAGAACTTAATTGAAGGGCACTCTGATCATATTATAGTATATTCTACATTCATTTAATTATTATGTTAGCTTCTAGTTTCTTGATTTCAATGATATAATCTATGATTTCTAATTATGCTCACAGACTGTTGTATTTATTTTACATTGCTTCGTTTTAATTATTGGCTTATAAAACTTTATTTTATCCCATTAATTCATTTAAGTAGATATAGTTATCTTCTGGAGAGAATCTGTTATATAGGAAGGTTTTGATTTTGTGTTCGACTAGTGCTTTATTTTACCTCATTCATGAAACAATACAAATCATCTAATATTTTTGTTTAAGGAAAGTTTCTGTATGGATTTTTGATCATAAAATTTAATAGGCTTTTCTTAGATTGAGTAAATTTAGTGTATTTACACTGGACAAAATCTAACAAACCGTGATATTTGCTGGAAGGCTCTGGTCGCTTCCATATCGACAAACAATAATCTTTAAGATAACGCAGAGACAAGTTAACTTGCTCTCGTATGGCGTGTAATAAGGAGCAGGAATAAAGCGGGTTGGACGATATCTCCACGATCTTATAAAGTGAAACATTGTCTTGTTCATTGTTTGTTCAATTTAACTGCTAATGTATGGCATAGAGTAGAATATTTATATTTTATCTCATTATACTGTACCCTTCAATTATATGAACACACTGTTCACACATTAGCCTACAGTCTTAATCATCTCTTTACTTGATAACAAATAAAATAAAACTATTTTAAAATCACTAAAATTCATTAAAATATATTCATATTTTACAAATAATAAAATAATTTAACATTAATTTCAAATCAATCCAGTTGCATGGTATAATTTAGTGGGCTTTTAGTTAAAAGTGCTTTCGCACATGAGACGTAATTTAGCTTCAGCGAGGCGGCCATTAAGGTCCGCGTCGGTATGCCTCCTATCAGCAAATCTCGCGATTTGTGAACTAAGGCGTCTTAACAAAAGATGCACCCGGTGGTCTTTGAGCCCGGGAGATCTATCTCTGTATTGTTTGATGGTCGTGTTATAGATACGAGTAATGAGTGCTATTATTACTTACTCGCAACAACATGTATAATTAAATTAAAACCACGACCGAATCCATTGAATTCGTTGTGTATGTTTAATGTTAATTCCTTTTTTAACTCTGTAACAACTGAGACAAAAACATGAGGGTCCAGCCAGCGGAACACGATTATAACTAAATCGATCTTTATATCGAATCAATCAAATCTAAAAACATGATAGAGTGGAGTCGAGTAAAAAATTACCACTTTATAAATAAAATAACAATAAAGTGATGCGCCGTTCAAGGGAATATATAATTATGGACAATTATTATTATACCGAAGCTCAATGGTTGATAGATGATTGAAAGGATCGAAACCCATAAACAAAAGGATCGATTTCGGTTACGCAATTTAATAATGGCCTAAAGTAATTAACTGATATCGTAATCGATTTTCGAAATATTTTGTTCCAAGCATAAGTGGGCCTCGTGGATTGAAAATTCGTTTGAGTGTATTTTTATAGAATATAGTCGAAGCAATTCAAGTCCCAGAGGGTCGCAGCGGGCAAATTTTATTTCTCTTCAATTTCGTGCACTCAGCAAAAGCAACAACAATATTTAAATTACGAATATCATAGTCAAAGTAAATTCTCAATGTAATTTTATAATTTAAATGCACATCTACATTTAAAAAAAAACGGTTTTTATATCTATTGAATTATTATAAAATATTAAACAATATTTTAATTAAATATAAGACATTTGCAACAATTCAATGAGCCTTGGCACATAAGTCATAGGGCGAGCGAATTAAGACATATTTTCACCGCCCCTATTGCAAGACTAAGTTGTTCTTGCAGTTAAAATAACAATTAAAGTCCGCTTTAAATTTACGACTCAAAACTGGCAAAATAATTTAAACGAGCGTTAAGGTGAATGCGAGTAAAACGAGGCTTTGAAAAGGGAAACAAAAGGAACGCATTCACTTCTCCCTCCGCTGAGTCTTTGGTCCTTTTAGAGGCGGATGAATGGAAGTCTTCAGCGGTTGAAGGTAAAATTTTAACAGTAATAGCATAAGGAAATATTACTCCGGAATATCGCTGATTAAAATGCTTAAGAAAGCGGAGAAGTGCGAACAAAGCTGGATTAGGGAAGCAATGTTAAATCATAACACACCTTTATTTATGTAATAATATTTAGGTTAGCTTCAATAAAATAATTGATTTTACTGTTTATAAATCATTAATAAATTGATAATATATTTTTTCATGTAAACTCAGAGTAATGGTAATGGTTGTCACGGCGCGTGAAACGAATTTTCTTCCCTATGCTTTTTAAATTTACAAACCGTCGGCAATTTTATTTTATTGTTATTAGATTTTTCCGGCTTATGTCACAGTGACGTTACTGCGAAGGATTATTCCCGCAGTCTCTACGATAATAATCATAGGAATTGCCTTCCTTTATTACGTGTGAAATTTAGATCGTAAAACCTTTGCATCCATTACTTTGGTGGTTTTTCATTTATTTTTCCACTTGAAAAATGTGCCATGAAATATTCTCTTTTACGAAGAAAAAGTAAATATTGTATAACTTAAAATATAGGAATAAAATTGTATGTACTGAATGTTTTAATTAGTTGTAATATTTCATGTTTATTATTTTTGTTGTTATTCACAATGTAACCAATAACGAAGATGTTCACGAAAAAGATATAAAAATAGCAAAAAAACAGTAGCGGCGAAATATCTGGTGGTGTTATCAGCGCACGCGCACCCAATCTGCGATCGAAACACACCGGATAAGATTATCCAGTAGCCCTGTATTATTTTAATGAGACTACACGACTCCACGAGATTCAATGCGATACAACAAAAGCTTAGGTAACGAAGCAAAAAAATCTATACGGGTCAAAAGAGATATCACACGGCTACTGGGAGATGACGACGTTTACAATGGGAACGATCCACGCTGTGGGGATTTTTAAATTAGCCACCGAACACGATAAACTCAGGTACATCTACATACCAGCTGACGGCAGATCGGCTGATACCATTATGTCCCCGGTATGGTACCGATTAAAAAATATCTACATTTATAAGTGGACAACATCTGGTATTTAAATAAGATATAAATACGCTGCTTCGCGGCGTTTTGTTCTTCAGTGCAATTTTTTTCATCTCCCCGTGGAAGTTCCCCTCCGCGGATATATTGGTATTAAAAATGTAAGGGAGATTTATGCGAATGGCTCTAAGCTTTCATTAGTTCTTCCTTATGAGATGTTTTTGCGGTCTCTCCCTGACCGGTAATATTTCATTTTCAGCAAACTTTCTGATGTAATGGGAGCGTTGTTAAAAATTTAACTGCATATAAAGAATATTTATTCAGCAAGAGAGTTCCAGCTGCAGGCTACGACTCATAATGTTAAGATTCCCTGTTCCTTTTTACGAATTGAAATTATGATAAGTCTTAATGAAAACAGATGGCTTTATACGTTTTTTTAGGTGTCTTTAACAACTAAATAGGCTCAGTGAGATATTTATCTTTATAAATAATGTAGCACATGTAAAAAATACTCTCTTTAATGAATCAATTAGATAAACATGTTTTCAAAAATATTTTCCAATATATAAAACCAACCCTGAGACATCTGTTAACATATTTGATGGCATTTTTAAAAAACTTGTTTATAGCATAAAATAAAAAACAGAGCAAAATTGTATCACGATTATCTTACTTCATAATAATATACTGAGTCATAAACATATGCAACAACGTTATTCCGGCATGTAATTCTGTATGTAAATTACAACTAGAACAAGGGTTCTGTTTCACCCCATAGAGACAACCAACTACCAGTGATACATGACCTCATACCACTTGTGATCATTTTAAATGTAGGGCTCGCGGTAAGCTGGATGGTGTGTAACTGCTCTTAAACCTCATTTTATGTCAGTTTTAAATATTAAGATCAGTGGGATTTACCTAGATCTGTGATGATATGTTTACGAGGAGAGTATATTGTACAAACATATTTAATCATAGTCAATACATATATTTGAAAGCTGATTCTAGTTGTAATGATGTTTAAAAAATGCAAATTAAATTCGTTAAAAAAACCAAAGCAAAATTGTTATCATTAAAAACATTATTAAAACAGATTAAATGGCATTTCGAGTTCACTTTTCAATAGACATCTTGCACATCATGAATAATTGGGCGTACGTCACATTAAATTATTTCGGCTAAGTAATTCCGAGCGGTTAATTATTGCGCACAAGCCGGGAGGAGAGTTGAGAATGTAATTATTATTAAACTTTACGATTGTCTCACTTTACCCCTTTATACCAGGTGAAGTATTTATAATGTCGGAGGACGAGTGCTTATTACATTGGATTTTAAATATTATTGACGTAACGGAAAGACTAAAATCGCTTGTTATATTTATGTATTTGTGACGTTTCGATTTGTTGTATTGTATTTAAGATCCTAAGGGAGTATCTTAGCTTGTTGTGGTACAGGATTCATATTTGAGCTACTGTTTCACAATTTATAGCTGTATGATGTATGAATCAAGGAAATTTGATACTTATATGTTGCATATAATCAAAAGACTTTTGATTGAATTAGGATCATTTGATTTCTTTACTTATTATTTCTTTATTTCAATATGATCATCTTGTTTTGTTTTGTTTTAGTAAATATTTGACATTTGTGTGTCTAAATGATGGTATAGGTAAGTATAACACGTCTCTATAATGAGATTTATAAAACTGAATATCATTTAAATAACTAGGACCTACGAATTAAATTTAATAATTCCGATGTTAATATTTGCCTACAGCGCCTTGGGGAAACACGCGCCAAATTCACCCTAAGAAAATTTTGATAATCATTTATTCTTACACGATCATATTAACGTATATATTTAATTGAATTTTAAGATATTATTCTTATTTGTATTTACTACTGTAAAACGGGAGTGATTATTTTTTTCGTAATTGATCAGCATTACGAAAATGGAACTATTTGAAAAACTGAGGATAACATATTGTATCTTCCTTCATAGAAATCTATTTAAGTTACAAAGTAACATTAAATATTATGTGTTCGTTTTGAGGTGTACCAATATTGAAGCCATTGATACACACGTCGCCGCCGCTAGATGGCTTGCGTGTGGTCAAGTCGCGTGCGCACTGTAACCAGAGCGACACGCGCAAGTAATCCAATATGGCCGATGTCTCTCACATATCGGTAGATTGCAGGAATGGCATTTTAATACCCACTTTAGTGTCACTTATTGTTTACTTGCGCCCATGGCCGATTGGCAAAGAAACCACATATCAGTTTATATTATAAAACGACAAATAACTGTTAAATAAGACTAGTTTTGATAAAAAAGGATATCTCATGGTTTATCGGCTAAATATAAAAAGTAAAAAAACAATAGAATACGACACATAACTTACAAACATTAATGTATTTAAAAACTTTTTATTCTAATTAATAATTAAATTTGTATGTGTTACATTCAAATATAAAAAGTGAAGTTAGAATCTCCCTATAAGCTGATACTTATGAGATAATAATTTAAAAACCGAGTAAAACGTCTACAATATTCCATAACAGCACGTCGAAGTAAACAAACAAAGATTGACTTCAAAGATTTGGCACTCCGGCACAATGGTGCGAAAGCTGGCGCGGTCAAAAACAATGCATCGTTGGTGTATCTGCGCCCGCGCATCGCGCAGTGGCTTGTTACCTTAGGGCGGTTTGCAACTTGAGAGGTATGTGCATAATACAGAGTCAAAAAAATCATTTCACTGCGTTTAGATATTTCACATCGTCAAAGTTAGTTACCTTAATAAAGTAACATATGTTTCATTTTTAATTATTAAAATAAGAGCGCACTATTTTATCGCTATATTAAAAGTCAAGTATTAAAACCAATTCTGTTAATTTGGTTACATCGCAGTACAATGGCAATGTCCATGAAAGTATTGTAAAAGCTTTCATATCAATTGAATCCATTAGCTGAGTACACAAGTCCTGTGTGTCTATTTGCTCATCAGTTTTTATCATTGGCCAGTTCTTGTTTGTTAGATCGGTCACTTCCACGTTATTGATGGGCTGTTTCCCTTCAACGCAACGCGATATCGAAGTAAATTATATCATAAACACATCGCAATAAGAAACTTTTCATTTTATTTGCAACGTCGCATTTGTGTATTGACTTTGTTGGACATTTCAACTGTAAAAGCTTGTTTATATAATTTCGTATATGGTTGTCCATTTCATTGTTCAATCAGCGAACAGCTGTCATAAAGATAAAGTTATTAAAAACTGAAGTAGCACTTTACGTGTTCTAAATATTTGCTTACTTTAAATTGGCTACTGACACTAAAATCTTATGTACTGTGGCTATAGAATTATAAACATTTTATGAATTACTTTTGAATCTTGTCTCCTTTTTATAAAATCAACGTTTGTTTACAATCTTAATAAGACTGCTTCTTTGTGATGTATATAACAACAATAAATCAAAGCTATTGTCAATATGAGCATGGTCTTCGACATAGACTATCTCTTGATATGGAAGTGGAATTCCCTTTCTAACAGAACCCCATAAAATACGCTTGTCCTATCTACTTGCGCATGTGCCATTTGTCCGTAGAACAGCACTTAGCTTAACAAAAACTGATAGTTGTAAAACAAAAGAGGTGAACAAAACCGGGTACAAGACCGGACCATTTTGCTTCAGAAATAAACTAAGCGGACGAATTAACAGGGATAAAGGATTAAAGAGTAGCCGATGCAGATTTATGTCGCGATGATTGCGATCGGAAAGATTCTGCGTGTTACGAATGTTTTTTAAAGAGAGAACTTTAGATGTGAACAATTAAAAACACTTTGGAATCGGAGATATTCACATACTTTATATTCTTCAATTATTTTCTTTATGCGTTTATTTTATTACTGTCGTTTTTTCCACGGAATACGTGCCATGTAACTTTGTTTTTAACACTAAAAACACATTCGACGAGACGGTATCAGATTGCAAACATTTGAAATGTTTCACTCGAAACTGTTAGCTTTGCAGCGTGAAAATCAAAACTTCTATTTTTCATTCAATGTCAAAATGGACAGAAATAGAAGGAGTTATGTCATGGTCTTTTCAAAGAACCCTCTAGTCTTATCTGATGATGCAGTACATTTGTCTGCGACACCACTACGCACGTCTAGTGTAAAAATTGTTAGCGAATGCATCTGATAGCGATCTGCCATTTGAGAGCAACGGAGGGGCGAATCGGTTATGAGTTATGTTTACCTCAAAGCAATATACACCTGTTTAAACAGCTGATGTTGTATTTCAAGGTGCTTACATAAACTATATAACACATAAAGAAAAACAACTATTTAACGTTATATACGATTTAAGCCTTACACCTATCAATTCAGCCGAGAATCGACCGAGTGATTGCTGTAATTTCTTTAAAAAAAAATTAACGGTAAGGTTCGCCAGACACATCGATTCGAAAAATTGTTTCATCAATAATAATTTTATTATCTTAATAACAAAATTACGGGTTAAGTAAATAGATAGACGATTTTAAATCTTAATAGTGTACTGTTAGGAGGGTATTCCTTTAGCTCAGTTACATGTCAAGAGGAGAAATGGAACCTTTTGTTGGCCTATAGCATTATTATTTCTCATTTTATTTTGTTTATTAAAACAATTGGCTGGAGGCGCAATATTGATATTCAAGTTTGATGATGACTCGCGCTACGAAACATCTCATCTTCTGTATTTTTATGGCTCTTATAACAATTGCGTTTTACTTCTATTTTGTTTAGACAGTGGTGAACTTATGAATACATTTTAATATATTATTTTAAATATGATTCTAAGCTGAATGAGAAACAACATGTAGCTATAAGGAGCTGTCTGTAAGAACATAAAATACGGTCGGTAATAGTATTTATTAAAGCAATTGATTTCCTTTGAATTCTTATACTTTGTATTGTACATATATATAGTCATAACGCACGACTACATTCTCATGGTGAAAACGAAATGACGAGAATAAATAACATGCAGAAATATCAATTAAACAATTATGTTGTCTGAATGAAATCGTGGGTAATAATAGTGAATTGTGCTATAACTCAGATGCATCTGTTCTACGATTATTCGCGAAGGCACGACATGAGCCGGCTTACTACACTATGAAATATAAACATCGCTGTTGTATTTAGATAAAATTATTCAATTATTGTCTTTATAATGATAATTTTAACTATTTTTATAGTAGAAAAAAATATGAACTGTTTAATTTAATATTAAAATTTTGTGTTAACGATAAAAAACTTGATATATAATCGATATGTTTTATAAAACTTGTTCATTTAAATGTGCGTGATTATAGCAAGTAACTATGAACAAATCTCGTTTTATCGATTAAAGTGAATCGATTCGAGCGACATGTTAACTAATATCGATAATCTCATTGACATTGACTGTTTGTATAAAATTATTGCTCTCGAACTAAAGTTCTAAGATCTATGTTTTATCTTCAAATATTTATAGAACAAAAGAAGTTTCTGAGTCTTACCTTTTTCGTAGCTAATCTGTCGTTCTTGCTGGCGGGCGTTGTCTGCTGCGACCTTGAGCAGCCCCTGAATGTTCCTCAGGAGAGTTTCCGTCGAGGAGACCAGGGTGTCTGCTGACGGGTCCACGGGCACGTTTGAGGGAGATCCTTGAGTCGGGTAGTTGACAGCAGCTGGTGAAGTATTCGTTGGCATATCACGCTCACCGTCACTCAACTCGGCGCCTAGATAATTAATAATTAACAATATTAACAATAATAAATTGCATTAAACTTTAATCATGTATTTAATTATTTAACGTAGCAAGAAGTTTGAGATGAGGAATGCTATTAATAATAAATACGACAGTATGATCGCGTGCGTGTATCATTCGCATAACAATTATTATAGCAAGGTACATGGAAATCGCGTGGTAAATCCATGCGGTACTTTGATGGTCAGAGGAGGCCTATTCGATATTGAGGAATGTAACTTAATAAGGTTTTACATGTATAACTTCCTTTCACTACATTTAAAATGCAAAACAATAGTTTGTTTGGTTTCTAACATTTTGTTTTTAAACATTTAATTTAGTTTTGTTTATGACCGTTTATTATACTATTACTATTATAATTATATATAACTCTATAATATAATTTACCAAATATTAACATAACAAATGTATGGAATATTAAAAATTTATATTAAAATACTCTCAATTACTTTGAAGCCATTAAGAATGATAGTTGTTACCTACGTGAGGCATGGGACATGGAAGGGGCTGTCTATTCAATTTATATGTATTGCAAAATAAACCCGTTAACTGCTCTATGGGAACTAAAATCAACCTGCAATTACAACTTCAACTTCCTAACAAATAAACACAGGAATTGTACATTATCAATTTATTCTTTTAATTTGATTCAAGTAAAAAAAAGACTAATTTCGATGACGTATCCCACGATCCGGAATAATCTATCGATACATATAATTTAACTGACAAGATAGTGAACGCTCATCACATAATGAAGACAACATCTTTCGTCATTGTCGATCCTCACGATAGCACTTTCAAGTTGTCACAACACCATCTTCCTAATAAGCCCAATTAACAAAATTTATAACAGAACCGACAACCCAAAATAGACCTTTTGGCTTATTAAATAAAATTTAAAATCGTTTTCAAACAAATCGTAACCGATATTAAAACGCGGATATAAAACCAGAATAGGGTCACAAATAACTCTCATGATTGAAAGAAAGAGGTATTGGTTCGACAAAGATCAAAGTTGAATGACATGAGCATTAACTGAGGTTTTTAATGATCCGATACGATGATCGTGAACGTAAGAAAAATATCTATAACAAAAAAGATAAAACAAACATTGAGTAAAGTCAAGTTTAATAGTGTTTTAATATAATAAGTATAACATAAATATAAAAAGATATTTTAACGACAAAATAAAAATTAGTGAGTGATTTTTTTAAAAAGGAGTATTGTAGCGAATGCTTTTCATTTAGAATTTGTATTTAATCTTCGTACATAGTTTACGTCTAACCGGTTCCCACGGTATCGTAGTATTTAATATTGAAACTACAACAAACAGACATCCTTATTGTTTCCTACTGAGCTATTGTGTTTTTGGTATAGATGTTATGGTTTTCATCGCGTTTCCTATAGCTGAAAATATTCCCATATTCGGTTCATGGTAATAATGAGGCTTTATTTAAACTTATATTATATTAAGCTTCCTTATTATAAAATAGCAAAAACAGTATAATATTGAACATTTTGACCTATGCTATTGACTATATATGCAAGTTAGTTATCGACAACTTCTAATAACAAGAGACTGTTTGATTAATGATCTATTGGTGAGAGAACGTACTAAATTGATTAAAAATATTAAACCTGTTAATAGCTTTGATATACAAAAAGCTTGAAATAAAACTAATGTCGGGAGGTGCTCGGTTAGAGAAATAGTCATGCCATCCATCATTGGTCTTTAATAATCTTAATAGCGCAAGATCTTCTATAACGGCAAATCTTTCTACACAGCTCATTAATGGAAACGTTTGTAATTGCAATCTGCATCTTCGTAATATCATAATTCATCTACTAACTTAATGTCACCAGAAATTAACATAAACGCTTATATAACTAGCTCAATATATTGATTTTGTATTTAGATATATTTTATAAAAATGAATTTTAAATTTGTAAGGTGTAAAATAGAATTGATCCTTTAAGTGCTATTCATACATCATTAAAGGTGATTGCGTCTGATACTTGTAATAAGATTTTATTATATCAGACCATTACCGGTAAACGTGCAATGCCCCGGGATCGCGATGAGAAATCATTTAGGAACTAGCAATCTCGCTACATTTGCAAGTATCATTATCAAATGTTGCTTCCTATATCCCTTTAATAGTCGTCAGTTATAAAAGGATTATCTTTCATTGCTTTTATTTCTTAGCTTTTACTGCCTTATCTTTAATTATACGCCAATAAACGTTAGTCGCCGCGTTACAATGTATGGTAAGATTGTTAAGTGTTTCAGTTAAAATAAAACAGGCTTTATGGCTGATAATGTCCGAACTACGATTGCCGAAGCTATTGCTATTACTCGGTAATTTTGTTCAGAAAAACATGTCTACATGCCTACATGGACGGTATATTGATCAGGTGTACCAATGTTAGGATAAAATATTCTCCTCCTCACTGAGACTACGGATAGATGATTTATTAATAAGTGAAAGCAATTACGATTTATTGTAATAAATGCAATTTACCATACATCACATGCTTGCATCTACCGTGGATAATTTTAAAGTTCAAGATAATAACTTAAATTATTTTAATTCAGATAATGGACTACATATATTTGGAGATTAATAAGAGGAACTTACCGTCATCTTCGTCTTTAACATTATGGTCTTCTTGGTCAGATAGACCAGGATCACTTTCGTCAGTATGAGATCTGGGTGAAGCAGCTGCTGCTGTGGATGGTATGCGGGGAGGTTGGGGCGTGCGGCGAGAAGCTGCTGAGCTTCGACCACTGGCAGAACCCTCCCCCCTCTCCCCACGTTCACGCTCTCGTTCCCTTTCCCGTTCCCGTTCTCCAGAACCTGATTTCGAGAGGTTCAAGACAGGACTGTGACCTGGAGAGGAGCCTGAGGGTAAAATTATAATATGTCTTCTATAGAACTGTAGATTCCTCGGGACATCTAAATGATATAACATTACCAATACTCACCGTTATGTGAACCCTCGCGTGCTTTGTCCATCGCTATCACACGTTCGATATCACCTCTCTCATCCCGCAACCTGAAACAATTTCACTTAGTTTACAACTAAATAAAACAATCAATGACTAATTCGACTGAATCTCAATCAAGCTTAGAAACTGGATATAAAAGAAACCAATTATGTAAACAGGAAACTTCTTATTTAAAAAGCTTTCCAATTTTTATTAAAAAAAAAAGGTTTAATGGGCGTTGTTCACAACGTTGGACTATTGTGACAATGTATCATAAGTCAGCAGCTCGTTATAGATATGTACAATCGTAAACATAGCCCATCGGACACGCTACCCCGCGAACCGAATCTAACAAAGTCACTGACAAACAATTTTATCATTTGAATCCATAAAGCATGCTACCCACTGAGTTGCGGAGCTTTTACAAAGGGAAAGGTATAATATTATAAGACCCCGCTGTGTTCTTTTGTGAATGAAGACGGTACGTGTAATCATGTTGTACGGATACCGCTACCCTATTTCCGTGGGTTCTTTTTGATTGTGAGTTATTGGGCTTTTGATGCCTCTGTTTTTGCTATGCGGCTGTTAATGTTTCCTATTGTCTACATCATAATAATGATTTATGACCTGAGAATATCAAATCAAATAATGGAACAACTATATATTTTTTTAACCATACTAATCTGATTATAACCTTGAGTATATAATCAAGTATCTAATGGAAATAATGGAAATCAAACACTGTATGTAACATTATGTGTATTGATGTTATTTATCTGATTTTCTTTGTTAATTAAAAATTAACACACTTTCTTTTAACAGCTATGAGTCAGTACATTTTTTTAAAAAATCTTGAAAAATGATTTCCCTTGTCGGAACCAATTTCGCTCATTTCAAAGGGGTTAATGCTACAATTTTTGCCCAGTAATGCCTTTTGAGCATTTGAATATAAATGACGTCTGAAAGTGAAATGTAACATACATAATAAGTGGCTGTTTTAAGCCTTCGCGGAACCCTTTTGCGGATTACAGAGTAACATCAAACGGGAGAATCAAATTTGTATTTAATTCCTATTCCACTTATAACTCAAAGTTTATATGCTATAGCTTATAAGATACGGCAACTACTTTTGTAACTTATACTGCTCATATATTTATTTTAAAGCCCTCCAAACAAATTATCTTTAAAAAAATCTATATTTAACTTTTGACATTTCAAAAGAAATATGCTTCTTAAAATAACTGCAAAGGATAGACTGTATTTGTTAGTCTTTATGTTTACATAAACTTAAAATTTATAAACCTCTATGTATACAATTACTCTGTGAACATACCCTCAAAATAAAATATCTGACTACTTTGACGAGTCACGGAACTCCGTTTGAATTTAATATATTTTTCATTGGCAGAGCTATTACTATGCTAATCATTCCTTCAATATACAAAAAAGTTGTCTCCAATTTAAAAAAGTTCTATTAAAATTTTATCTTATAATACTTTACAAATTTTAAAACAGGATATTTTTGACAAAACAAAATTAATATAAAAATAAATGAACATCTTGATCGAATTGAAAAGAAATGACCAAATCATCGAAACGCGATCGGTCGAAAGATAACGCCAGTATCAATAAAGTAATAAATTATTTCAACTTCCTTCGTTTTATTTTCATCATTATAAAACTGTTAAAGTGATCGATGGTGCTTAGAATTTGTGTAAGGATTAATAAGAACGACAGAGGATTTGATTTATCAATAAATTTATTACAATTAAATATAAATGTCAAAACGTGAACCAATTTATGAACGCATTCATTTTACACGCGTCAACAAAAAATGGCGACAGTAATCTAATGCGGAAAATTTAAAATGTGAAGCATGTCACAAAGGGAAGTAAATTAAAAAATGATTTCGTTATATCCGGTCCTTTATTTTGAAGAGTTTCGTTCGTTTGAATATTTCATTGGCATTGTATCTTGAGTTTTTGTGCATTTTAAATCGCAGTAGTATATGAAGCATATGCAAAGTATGTCCCTATTTACCAGGTGGTAGATATGTATACGTTATGGGAACAAAATCATGAAGGTTAACTAAGTTAGTTAACGCTAACTATGGCATTACAGAGCGCGCAGTGGCCTAAACAGATATTCCGGGGAAGCGCGCGCGGACAATGCGACGCAATCACCACCAAAGCCAATGTACGCTGATTAGTTAATTCGGAACTGTTCACAACCTAATATTACAGCGCACCACGTTCCAAACCGTTCTTGTATGCATAATCTGATTAGAGTAAGTATTATACAAAGCTTTTGGTAACGGCGTCGTCGATTACATTGAGGTGATAAAATGCATTATTAGAACTTTAGAATTACAATCCGTGATCCAGTAGTCTAGTATAGTAGATATCGATTAAGAAAATCAAATCCAATCTGAGCGCTACTGCGTAAAACATTTGCTTGACACCCAAATCAAAAATCGTTTTAGTCCACCCTCCCCAGGGGGGACCGGGATCCGTCGACGCCTCAACATTTATTATTTCAGACATATCACTCACATGCAAAACAAACTCAGTCCGATCTATCAAAAAGTTTCTTCCCCTATTCTCCTCTTGACACAAATCGAGTGTGTAAGTACTGCGGTTTGAGAAACTAGGGTCACACATACCAACGTCTATGACTTCAGGAAGAATTTGCCGTGATTGTTCCGTTTTCCCTCGACTGACGCATGATTAATTTGCGGCAACGACATAATTACTAAGTTATCAACAACCAAACTGAAGTCACCAAACGATATATTGAGATTTCGTTAGAACACTACAAATATTTGAATGTTTCATTATAATAACCTTTAGATATAGTCAAAACAGATATTGCTTTAAAATAAATAAGCTTGTTCATCCAAGAGAAATGAGCATTGTTACCCCCGTAACAGTCAACAAAGCTTGGAAGAAAATCGAGCGAAAAAAGGCTAAAAACACCTTAGGGGTTTACTAATCGAATAAAAAATATCAGCGACCGATGCCAATGTATGGGGGAGAAATGGAATAAATTATAAAGAAAATACAAGTAGCAAGGGGCTGGGAGCAAACAAAAAGTTATCCATATAACGGAACTTATGTTTTATCTACGAAACAAAATGTCTAGACGTTTAAAATCTGGCTGTTTCTAGGCAACCCCGTCATACTAAACTATTTAAATATGCATCTAGTTTTGGTAATGAACTAAAAATGAGAAGGGCTGCTTAATACTGCTACTTCTTTTCATAAACTAATTAACAATAACGAGACGTATTTGAAATAGATAACAACAAAAACCTTATTAAGATATGCAAAATTTTAAAAGAAACTCAAATGATTTCTAAACATAACATATATATTATATGATTAGAATTTTTGTTAACAAGCTTATCGATGATAAAGAACCAAAGAAAAACACTTAGGGCGGAAGAGGCTTGGGGAAATGCAAAAATATTAGGAAAGAAGTAACATGATGACTTGTCGGCACCGCGCCCCTCGCATAAACGTCACGATGTCATTTGTAAAAATTGCGGCCTTCCAACTTCTTCGATTTTAGAACAATAACATGCGTGGAGTAGCTATGATATAAAAATATACTGATATAAGTGTCTCGAATATAGTTTTTTGTTATATGTGAAGAGACGGTATACGTAAATTACAAATAAAGTGTTTTATATAACTTTACTCATTGTAAGTAATTAATTTAAAAAAAAAATGAAACTCTACAGGTTTTTTGTTATATAAAAACATCTTAAATTATAAGTAGATTCTGAGGGCGACAACAGAATCGGTAGTCAGTGGGACCTCTGTGGGGGAAACCGGAGACAGTTATTTAAATTTGAATAATATAATATGGAAAAAATTACGTCACTTAATACCGTAATAAAAGTGCACTAAGCGACCGGGGCATTACGCTTGCCAAATGTAAAGAGGGACACGCAAATTTCGCTTATGAAACGTGAAATGAAAAATAAAATACGCCTCGGAAAGAAAATAAAATATGTCTCTGAAGCTTTAGAGCTCATTAGAATATTAGAAAAACGTGAGAAGATTAAAGTTGTCGCTGTTAGATGAGTGATTGCAGAAGATCGAGGGGTTTTTAAAACCAGTGAGATATATTTAAAGGTTTATAGATATGACTTGTTCTTTACCTTTACTCGAATTGTTTATGTCTAGAAAATAATAGTCTATTTGTTCGCAACAGATTACAGTGGCATAACGAGATTCCGATCGGATCTGATGTTATTAGGATTTAAGCGCCAACGCGTCGCCTGTCTCCCAGCGCAATGTCGGATAATTATGCAAAATTGCTCCTACAATTCGTAGTCCTGACTTTTAAAGGGCATTACCATTATCTATAATGGGAATGTTTTTTGATTATGTTAAATTTGGCAGTAATATCTTTGGGGAAATGAGAGTTGTATTGCCGGTTATACCGGTGTGATTTAGAACGTCGTTCTTTGTAACGAACTATAGACTTACAATTGACTGACCACATATTGCATAAATAGGGCTTCACGGCATGCAGCATAAGGGATAACCGCAGAAAATTCACATACATCGACACACTTCCAATTCAATTCCTTGGATAATGTGACGCGACAAATCCTTCCTTATAATCAAGCAGCTGTAGCGCGTTCTTTGCTGATATAAGTTTCTCTTGTGTGGACGGTCAAGTTTGTTCATCGCTGTGATCGCTGGTTGCACAGGGAGCAGTCGCATGAGTAATGATTGCAATCGAAGTGATCGTTTGCGTACACCGCAACATGTTTCCAACTAGATAGTAATGATGTGGTGACACTTTTTATTACAACCTTATACATAAGTAATCTACTATTATGTACCATCTTGTTGTTACAGAATTAAAAATATGTAAATCTAAATTAACAAACTATTGTATTACAAAAGGAATCTTGCTATCATGAAATTATTTTCTAAGATATAAACGTCCAGAAGATATAATCTTACAAACGGACGCTTTATCTAATAGTTAGCCGGCACAGGACACATCGATCATAGTATTGTACATTTCATTGATAACTTCGAATAATCTT